GAGAGAGAGAGAGATGGAATCTAGAGTTGCTAGAAGGGCGAGCTCAGTGAGAGGGGAATTCAGAGAAATTGACACTGCCTTAGGTGGTGTTTGATAACTTTTACTGTAATTCCCTGGGAAAATCCCTGCTGTTGACTTTCCTAGATTCTAGGAGGAAGGTGACAATTGGTAGCGTGAAAATTGGGAACCCTGTTTGATAGATTGTGGAGTAATTTCACCTGTTTGGCATTGGGAAAGTAGGAAACTGCCTGTTTAACTGTTCATTATGTATTTCATTGATCTGATGTGCATATCTTGAATAGCATTTTGTAAATAAATAAGGTTCCTTTCATCCATCCAATGTAATACCAAAATATGTAAACAGATTCAAGGAATAATTTATTGTGCTTGGAGACTTCATAAAGGTGTCAATCCCCTCTGATGCTACCAACATTTACATAAATAAGAAACACAATTGGTTTTAATTTCTCTAATACTAAATCTCACCACTGTAGTAGAGAGTGGATAGTATAATAGCGCAATATAGGTCAAAATTATTCTTTATTGATCGATGATCAGCACAGCCCTTGAAACTTCTAGGATTTTTTTATGCGAGACAAAGCTACCCTTCATGATTCATTCAAACAAATCAAATTCAAGCAAAATTTTAGACACCATTCTCTTACAAAACGAACGATATGCATAGATTGAAAAAAAAATAATAGATGAAAAACATACAGATGTATTTTAATAAATCATAGAAGATTTTCAATGTCATGAATTTTTATCAGGGATAGAAAATAATAGAACCATTGAAAATGAAGGACTGACGAATGTAGACTAAACCATGTTTAACTAGAGGCAAGACAAAAATAACAAAATCCACTTATCAATCTCTGAAACCCAGAAAAGAAAAACGGATTTCCATGACAAATTCCCTAGGAAAAATCAATAAGCAGCCAATATCTAGTTGAAAAAAACTTGATAGAAACTAAAAAGAAAATCACACTTATCAGTCTCCTCTAAAGAAAAACAAAAAGCAATACCAAGTCATAGACTCAGAGCATTTGTTTCAACGTGACTTTTCAGTTGAGTTCACAGCACAACAAGAAACAAAGCCGTGAGAACAAAAACCTTACGCTGTAACATCACATTCTACGAAATAACATATATAGAGAGTAACATCACATTCTTAAAACGTAAATATATTTACAGAGAGAGAGAGAGAGAGATAAGTACAGGATTCACTTAGAATTGAGAGAAGGAATGCATTTTGTGGAGTTTGCAGCGGAAGACGAGACACTTACCAGTTTAATCTTCAATGTGCAGGAATAGCACCCTGAGTTAGGAAGTAGAGAGAGAAAGAGGGCTTTTGAGGAGCAAGAAACTAATACGGAGGTCGTTCAGAAAATCAATGGGAAAAAATCAGAGAATGGAGAGCGAGAGACAAGGGGAATATTAGAGAGAAGTTGAGGAGAGAGAAAATCATCTGTAAATGTGAGAAGTTTAGGAGAGAGAAAATCACCTGAGAAGTTGAGGAGAGAGAAAATCACCTGTGAGGTTAGGGTTTGGAAGGGGCGTCCGAGAAACTGCGGGACTTTTCTACGTTTGATCGGCTATCAAACGCCACCTAAAATTCAGAGGACTTCTTAGGAAAAAGTTTAAATAAGGTTGCAACCTTAAAATGTAGGGCACATCAAAAATCTGTTTTAAACTTTAATATATAAAAACTCTTAAATCTGTTTTAATATATAAAAACTCTTTAATTGATCATCCCGATAACCAGATGTATTATATAAAAAGAATACCGATCTTACGATGTCTGTAGGACATAAAGAATCATCATTAAATTTGACACACTTCTCCAAAAAATTCAAGTCTCATATTTATGTGATAACTTTTTAAAATATCTGTGTCAAATTTAATAGTGATCATTTGCGGTCCTACACATAGGTGTGGAAGGATAATTACTCATATAAAAAATAAAAAAAATTATATACATATACATTATGCTTTGTGTTATTACAGATGTACCAAATAGTTTATGTTATTACATGTATGTCTGTTTTTTACTTTTTATAAGACAAATTTTTTTAAAAAAATAATTTTATCTTTTTTCGGATGTTGAATAACCGAATTAGAAGGTTTTTCGGATGTTGAACATCCCAAAATGTAATTGCATAAGGTTTCCGGAAGTTCGTAGTCACATTTTCGAATGTTGAATATCCAAAAATATGACATTTTCAGATATGGAACATCCGAAAATGGTTTCGGATGTTGGAAATCTGAATATGTCATATTTTTGGATGTTCATCATCCGAAAATAACTGTGAAATTCCAGAGGCTTCCAATATTTCGGCCTATTTTCGGATGTTCCCTCAAATTCGATTGTTCAACATCCGAAAAAAAGTAAAGCCATCTTTTTAAAAAATTACGTTTTAAAAGGTAAAAAACGTACCTACATGTAATAACGGAAACTATTTGGTATATCTGTAATAATGTAAAATATAACACATATTTATGTAATTTTTTCTAAAAAATAGAAAAGATTTTGAGTCTTGGAAATAGTACATCTTACAACATATTATCTAGAATGCTCATTTTCAAGATTTTCATATGTTTATAGATGTCACACCCCAAGAATTTACAATACTGTTATTCCTGAGATGTGACAGACAACACATATATACATCTATTGATAGGACAAATTTACAATGGCGAGGTCTTACAAAGTAACAAAAGAAAGCTAG